TCTCTCTCTCTCTCATCCTCTCTCTCTCTCTCTCTCTCCTCCTTCTCTCTCTCTCTCTTCTCCTCTCTCTCTCTTCTCCTCCTCTCCTCTACTCTCTCACTCTCTCTCTCTTCTCCCTCTCTCCTCCTCTCTCTCCCCCTTCCCCAAACCTTCACTTCTTCTCAACAACTTCTCCGACCTCCTCTCCCGCCCTCCCCCTCGCGTTCTTCTCCGATCTCTCGTCCTCTCTCTCCCACTCGCCTCTCCCAATTCTCCTCCCTCCCTTCCCTCCCTTCCTTCTCTCTTCTCTATTTATATACATATACCACATCTTATATATCTTCTATCATCAACCGTACGCTCACAATTTCCCCTTCCCCTCTCCGTCGTCCTCATCTCTCTCCCTCTACTATCTCTTTTCATTTCTCTTTCTCCTCTCTCTCCTCCTCTCCTCCTCTCCTCCACTCCTCTCTCTCCGCTTCTTCCTCCTCCTCTCCTCTCTTCCCTCTCTTTCCTCTCTCACCTCTCTCCTCTCTCTCCTCCCCTGCCTCCCCTCTCCCCCTCCCGTCTCCTCTCCTCCTCTCCCTCCCTCTCCATCTCCCCTTCCTCTCCTCTCCCCTTCCCTCTCCCTCCCCTCTCCCCCTCTCCCTTCGCCTCTCCCTCCCTCTCTCCCTCTCCCTCCTCAGGGTTGATATCCATCACCCCCAATTTCCCAGTGTTACAGAGGGGTATCTTCTATAAAAATTCTATTTGGTGCCTGATGCTGATAGAAGATGTGTTATGTAAAAATGAAGTCAACCGCATATGGTAAAGTTTATTACAAAATACGTGCCATTTTGTTTTCATTTCATTCCCCGTCAAGAATTGACAGTGAAGGTTATAGAGTATATGTACGTATCACCAGTCCCGCACAGCAGTTGTTTACCCACATTGTTTACACCTTTGCTACAGTCACGCGGAATACGCCTCCGCCATCGATAAACAATATTTCTGATTGGCGACCGGCCTGAGGGGAGCTCTTCCGGCGGCATCCCACGGCAAGGGTGCCAGTAGAGGCGCGGTTAACTTGTCTTGTGTACGCACAGGTCTGGCGGTAAGCGCGGCTATCTGGGCCGAATCGGTCAATTTGGCGCGAAATCTGGGGGCTGAGGGAGCCAGCGATAACACGACGTAGAGCGTGTTTCTCCACGGGTATCTCCGGTCTTTCCAGGGTGCAGTTTCAAATTATTCGCTTAAAGGAGTTATCAATATCTACAAAGTCAACAAAGTTATATTAAATTAGATTTTATTTTATACCTTTTTTATTAACAAAATTTTTTATTACCAAAAACGAATAAACAAGAAATGGCTAATTCGAAACGGGATCTACACTCGCGTCGACGGCCCGTTAGACTAGCGTTAATAATTTTGAATCTGTAAATCGGTTTCCTTGCTTCTTTCTTCAAAAAAATAAACACAACACGAAACTTTGGTGAAAACCGGGAATAAAGTCTTGTGCTTCATGTTGCTCAAACTAGAAGTACTATGCGCGGTGTTATTCCAGCGAGAGGCATGTGCGGTCTGTCACGGCGGTGCTTTTCGCTGTTGAGACACTACGTCTGGCTGGGCACTCGGACACAAGTCAGGCCCTAGACATACACGACACCAGTTGAACCGCGCCTTAACTGATAAAAGAGAGCCCGACTTTTGGTTCCTTTCCCCCGGGTGCGTGATGCCGGGTTCAGCTCGCGGTACTAGTGACCTTAATTACCCAATTAGGCATAAGAATTAATGACCCCGTGCCGGCGAGGAAGTCTTGCTGTTTATGATGGTTGACCTAACTCGAAATAGATGTTTTGATTTACGAGCGCGGAAAGAGTAATGTGTGCGCTGTGAGTTATTTTCAATTTTGTGATTACTTCAGTTGCATTAAATGGAGCCTGGCAAATTGCCTGCAATTTATTACTAAGGGTAAGCTTTGCATAGTCTCACGATTCTAATTTGTATATCCTTATGTGCTTATTTTTGTGATATTCCCTGCGGACCTTTACAAATAAAAAAACAGTTCTTTCACAATTAATCCTAGTTATGTATCCACAGACCATCCCATTTCCCGCAGGCTAAACAGAAATGCCCCTGCTTTCCAATGTAAACCCAAATTAACAGCTGTTCATGCAGGTGTTCCCTTTCTCCACTCCATGACCTGGCCCACCCCTCGCATGTTTTGCATGGCCGATATAAAAGACTCATAAGCTGGCCGTCAGAGTTTACGAGCCATCATCAAACCTCTCATCCCAGCGCACAGAGATTAAGCTGCGTCACGAGAGCCTGTCGCCGAGGCCCTCAGAAACTAGTGCAGGTCGCTCTCCTTGTGTTCTTTGGTCTGAGTGGGTAGACCCGTCGGCCCTCACAGACTGGAAACGAATCTTTCCGTGGTCGATGCTAATTAATCCTCCTGGAGACTTGTGCATCATCCTAAGTACGAGTGATTAGGCCACTCTTTAATTGATAGTAATTTCCCCTCTTTCTCCCCTCTCTGCAG